TCTAGCATGCAGAGTGGCCGGAAGGATAAAGGAGAGTTTGGGTCCCCTTTGCCCTTGGGTATAAGCACCAGTCTCGCCTCCTTCCATTGACTTGGGAAGACCCGGGCCCTAAGGCAGCTGTTGTACATGTTAAGCAGGAGATCAGGGCTCGTTTTCGCTGCTGATTGCCTCCGCTGGTATGCCATCTGGGCCTGGAGCCTTGCCGGCTTTCATGCTTCGCAGGGCTAGCTTCAGCTCGTCTGTCGAAAACAGTGGTGCCTCGACTTGCTCCTCCACGAACACTGTATCTGCTCTTAGAGGGTGTGTGGGAAACAGCGCATCCACTATATTCTTTACTCGGGCCTCTTCCATCGCTTGCGATGATTTGTGGAACTTTTTCAACACTATTTTGTATCCCTGGCCCCAGGGATCGCGATCCACTTCTTCACATAGCGCTTTCCAGTAGTTCCATTTACTCTTCTGTATCTCGGCCCCAAGTGCTTTCTTAGCGCTTTTGTAGGCTGCTGCTCTGATCAGCGCCTCAGGTCTACCACGAGCGCGCGTTGCGAGTCTCCGCATTCTATGGCAGGCCCTTCGCAGCTCTGCAATTCGGTCATTCCACCAGTATACCTGCTTTTTACCTGACCATGCTCTCCTCTGTGGCATTGAGGTTTTGTATGCCCGGTGAATGCAGCGCATGGTTTCTTCGACCAGCTTAGTACAAGAGTCCCTGTTGTGGATCTTTCCCGTTGTGGGTGAAATATCTTGGGGATCTGCTAGGATCGACCCGGCCTTTGCATGCCGCCTTTTTGTGGCCATACCCCAGACGGCGGAAACACCTTTGGACATCCGCGCGCTCCCGTACGCGGCAGATAATCCAGCCTACTCGCAGCTTCCCCTTTTCAATAAGAATCCGGCCTGGCAGTTCGTCGATTTTCACCACGGCCATTATTTGTTCTCGCGAGTTTACAGCGAGGAGAGAGACGCGAATTTGGTTGTCTCCTAATTCCCCGCGTAAAGCGTTCTCCACTTTTGGGGCCGTGGTTAGGCAGTCCAAGCCCAGAACTTCTAAACGTAAACGTCTAGTGAGAATACGGGCGTCTCCAAGCTGGCCAAATGCACACATTTTACTTAAATGCTGAGTGGTCGCCACAGCGCTCCATTTCGACAAGCACGCCGCTTTCGCGGGTTTTCCGAACAGATCGAATTACGGTCTCCGTCTTCTCGGGTTGTAGCTTACCACGTATCGTTCCCAGCACCTCTGCATAGGTTTTACCTTCAGCTGGCTTAATGATTAATTTGGCGAGACTCTTCTTTTTTCTCACCCTCTTCTTTTTTTTTGCGGCTGGTCGCCCTTATTGACCAAGGGTTCACCTGGCCGCTGGCCCTGGCTTCGGCTGTCTGCTTTTCCCACCGTTTTCCATTGATTATCTGGTACGGTTTTCTGTGCATTATTATCTTTATTACCATTATTATTAATACCATTATTAATAATAATCTTATTACTACTATTATTATTATAGTCAGTATTCTTTTCCTGGGATGCTTTTTGGGAGGCGGCATCTCTGTTCGTCCGGACACAGGAGATTCATCAAGCATTTCTGATCTTTTAAATTAGGCCCTCGTCTCCTGCCGCTCTTGGTCTGGGACTGCATATTGGTTATTCGCAGCTAACCTACCGGAGTAGGCCGTTCACGATCCGCCCTGTGGGACCCCGGTAAGGTCCTGAGCTTAGCCCTTACCATTATTATTATTATTATTATTATTATTATTATTATTATTATTATTATTATTATTATTACTATTATTATTATTATTATTATTATTATTATTATCATTTTGAGCGCCTAGCCATCATTAAAGGCTTTTCCTTTAACATCTAGCAAGTAATTATTTAGTAAATTATTGTAAGTTTCAGACAATGATGTTCTTTATCACAAGACGGTGGTTTTTAGAAAAATGCCAAATTCTCCTGACTATCCACTTTGCTCGGACCAGAAACCCAATCCGTTATTATTTTCTATGAACTGCAGGCACTCTTCAACATGAATCTTCAATGAATCTTATATATGAATGTTTATATCAACTCTTTCGGCGTATTTCACTTTTGCTTCATTATTTTAAGATTGCAAAAACAGAAAACGTGTCCAATAAATAAAAAACATGCGATTAGTATTGCCATAATGCAACCCTGCTGCGAGGTTGCAAAATGTAGACGCGTAAAAAACATACCTTTGAGTGTGACAAAATGTAGACGGCGTCGTTTTCCAATTTTGTATGGGAAACAACAACACCACAGATTTTACGGTTAAAAAACGGCTTAAAATGTAGACGTCTACATTTTGAGACACTATTTGGAACGAACTGTGAACACCCCAAATATCTTTCATTTGATATCCATATTACGATGTTTTAGACAAATTATTAGTATATACATTGGCGCTTACACATATGTTAGTGTTTGGCCGAGCTTCTCCGAACGGCGTTTGTGTTTTTATGAGAAGCTATTTTTCATGGCAGAAACACACTCGGAGGTTTGCCACTGCCTGCCGAGGGCCGACCGCTGTTAAGGAAAACCCTTTTTTCTAAATGTTTGCTATGTTTGACCAGGGCTTGAACCCGGGCGCTGCGGAGTGGAAGCACGCACTGCTTACCACTACACCACAGCGGCCGCCAAATATAATAATCGAAAATAAGTGGTAACCTTACACTATTATCCTAAAGCTTGATATACAGTTCAATGTGAGCGTGAGCGTGAACTTTTACAAAGGCAAAGAATTCCATTTGTATTCTTATGGACGCTCACACACATCTGTCAAAACTTGTCGTTCACAAGCGAATGCTTTGCGTACGCACACAGTTGAGTGTGAGCTCGAAAATATGGCATATTATGCATTTTAAATTAGTTTTTATTCTATAATCCTGAAAAATATTATAATTCTGTATCTTTTGGTGTATCACCTATTGAAAAAGTTAAGTAATAACGAAGATATTGGTCAAAATAAAAAGCTCACGCTAATTTCGAGCAGGTGGCAACCTTATACAAGTATATTCCGAGATAGTGCCTATTCAGATAACCTTAGAATGCAAAACAATATCTGTGTACAAAATTTCATCAAAATCGTTAGAACCGTTTCCGAGAACTCTATGGATAAATATATTGTGGTGAATACTGCGGCAATGCGAAGCGAACAACGAGAAACTGGCAGAATGTACGAGGAATGAAGTAGAAAGTTCCACAAAGAGAAACGTCAAGTTGGATGAACACTGCGAACAGCGAGAGAAAGAGAATGAGCGGTGAAATTCAGAACATTCTAGAGTTGCCATGAGTGCGAGCGCAGGTATATAAGGACGCCAGCAGACACCGAAGTGAGTTAGTTGACTTATAACAAGCAAGCGACAAGTAAAGTGAGTTGCGAATAAGCAAGCTATAAGTAATTGTGTTAACAAGTTTTGTAAAGCGTTGTAACGAGTATTGTAAAGTGTTTTTACTGTATTAGCGAGTACTGTAAATTGTTTGTTGTACAATAAAATTAATTGTACTGCAGTTTGGTCATCGTGAGCATTTATTTAACAATCCAGCGATACGAGCCGTAAGATATTTGGGGAATCCCTCAAGGTTTCGAGGATAATCGTAACAATTGGTGTCAGAAGTGGGATTGCTAAATAAATCCCAGAGGAGAAACTTCCGAAAATGGCAAAAATTCAGGATCTAAAGACTGAGGAACTCAAGCAGGAGTTGGAGAAGCGAAATTTAGCAATCTCCGGAAGAAAAGTGGAGTTACTATCGCGGCTGCGAGAGGCTATGAAATCAGAAGGCATCGACGTGGACAAATACGACTTCCAGGGTAAACCCGACGATACATCCGCAAAGGACGAACAGAAGGATGAGGCTGCATGTTCGCCGAAGTATGTGCATCAGACATCCGGGAAGGTTGAAGAACCGAAAAAGGCTCCTTGGTCATCGGCAGCTATGGACATGAACACGTTATTGACTGCCATGTCACAGATGATGCAAGCACAGGATACACGCATGTCACAGATGTCATCACAGATTTCATCCCAGCTGCAAGTGCAGGAAACACGCATGTTATCTCAGCTGGTAGCACAGAAAACGTACATGTCATCACAGCTAGATGAAAAGATTACTCGGCTACAAGACAATTTATTCAAAGATAACGCGGAACTCAGAGAGAGACAGGATAAAGTCGAGGAACGACAAGATAAAATCGAAGCGCTTATTAAGGAAAAACAGGACAAAGCTAAGGTGGATGAGCTTGAAGATGGTCTCCGGGGCTTGCAATTGAATCGTCCAGCTAATTCGATGAACGCTCCCAAGGTAAATCCTCCATCCTTTATGGCACTATTCCTTGCCGTAAGATATTTGGGAAATCCCTCAAGGTTTCGAGGATAATCGTAACAATATATACAAGAATTGCTTGTTTAATTTAATAAGATTTAAGGACTTATATTATAAAAGTCCTTTAATAATTATCAAAGAGATGAATATTTTTAAGTCTTCAAGGACGTTTATTTTAAGACTTATATTATAAAAGTTTTTTCAAAATAATTATCATTGAGATAAATACTTTTAAGTCTTCAAAGACTTTTATTTTAAAACTTATGTTATATATACCCTAAGTAGGGCTTCACCCGCTACCCGGGTACCCGCGTAGCTCATTACCCGGGTGAAATCATTAGCCCTAGTAGATACCTAAAAACGAAACATTTTAGAGCTAAATTTTGTTGAAGCATAAAAATGGGGAATTTCAAAAGTTTTAATTCAAATTAAAAGAAGACTCCCTCAAAGTTACAGCAGACGATTTCATATGGAACGACCCATAGTGCATTTAAAGTTATTTTAACCTACAGGGTATTTATCCAACAAAGAAAATTAGTGAACAATATTAACGTTGTATTTATAACAGTTTCTAATCTTTTATTGATAAAGAGGCTTGTATTAAAATCAATTTTAAATTCTAGAGATAAGCCTTAACAAAAGTAATGTCAATAGCCTTACGTGCGAAAATAGAACATATGTATATATTCAAGAATGATAGAACACATTCTCACATTGTGATATAGTACATATAGTATTTAGTATTATACAATTATGTATTTATAACGCCACTAACTCTTCGGTACCAAGCTTTTTCAGTGTTGTGATGCTTATTTTTATGTGGAAGCATTAAAAGTTGCGTTTTCCCTGCAGTCACCTGGTGGCCCGCTACCAAATATTGGCTCGCCATCACCACTACCACCAATTATTTTAATAATATCGCTTAACGTATATTGACCAATATGAATGTTGACGCTCTAAAAGAAAAAAGTTATGTGAATATTCAATTTTAATCCCTTATTTTAGAATTATCTTAAATTTTATTTTGATCTCACTCACGAGAACCAATAGGCGGGCAATATTTGCTTAAATATATACCTCTTGAATATAGTCCTCCAAAAAACCTTGTTCATATGTCCATAGATCTGTCAAAAGCTCCAGGCCTAGTTCGTTAACCAATGCATGGAAGAAATCATTTATCCGCTCGTCTTCAAGTAAATTTTCAAAATCGATGTAAAGCTCACCAACTGTGATCTTCGAGAAAATAAAGGGTTTTTATTAACTAAAAAATTTAATTTTCAGCGCGCAATACCTTAATGCTCAAATTTCGTATGCCAAGATATTTTCCAGATTTTAAATTAAATGAGATTCTTAAACTCAAATCCTTTAGATGAGCTCTGTTTGAAAACTAGGATGAATACCAAAACACACATACCGCCAGCTTAGAGTGAAAAGTCGCTAAGTCCCAATTGAAAAATTTTACAGGAGGAAAAAACTTATTATAGCCATTTTCTTCAAGTATTTCGCCAAACTTTGAATATAACATAACATTTTCCCTTATTTATATCAAAGCAAAACACCATACGAATCAGAGGGATTCGATCTTTATAAAAAGATTTCGTACTATTTTGGACTTATCGAATTTTTCGGAGCTTCTTTTGGACTCAACAAATTTTCACTTCAATAAATATAAAAGAGAAAACATAAAATAAGGGCCTTTATCTTTTTCGAAATTATGCATTTTTAATTTCTCTAGCTTTCTGTATCAAAATATGAGTTTTCATAAAAAGTGAAATTAACAACTTTTCACTCTAACTTAGCGATATGTAATTTATTTTCTTTTCACTCACTCAGCATCGCCATCGCCGGCTAAATTAACTATATATGCCACTGACCCTTTAGCTGCATAAATAGCTTGTAGTGCCGTCATTGGTAGGGTGATATTGAAAATAGATTTCCTTATTGTAGAAATTCTGAGCTCATTTATGATAAAATCCGAGAGGCCAGTAATCTTAAAATCCGTTACAGAGCCTGT